AAAAGTACACGTGTGGCTAGTTGTATCCTCATGAAAATTGATATAATATCATATTTATCTGAATAAAGCCAAGTGCCGGGGATCTAAGTGGTCACCTTAATATTAAAAAAAAAAAAAAAAGAAATACACTATATCTATTTTGAATTTTATTATTAGTAATCAAGCCCCCTTTAAAATTGTTGAAAATCCTTGGTTTCATAAAATGATAAGTGCTCTTGACTCAAGATATGTTCCACCAACACGTATCTACATAAAGGAAAAATTAATATCTCAATTCAAAGATCAAAAGATACTAGTTGCAGAAAAGCTTAGCATTTCAAATAATAAAATTGCTCTTATAGCAAATATTTGAACTTCGTATTCGAATCAAGGTTATCTTAGAGTTATAGCCCATTTTATTAATAATAAATAGAAAATTAAATGACTTTTGCTAGATTTGATATTTTTTGAATCAAGACATACTAGTACACGTACAAAAGAAAAGCTTACTTAACTTTGCAATGACATAAAAATTAATGATAAAGTTATAATGTTAATGACAAACAATCACTTAGCAATGATTCTATGTGATGATTTATTAGAAAAAAAATGAAATGAATTTGAGTTTAAGCACTATTGGTTTGTATAATATATGAGGCATTGTCAATTAAAACATACCATAGTGAAACTAAAAAATTATTATACTGAGTAAGTTGTTCTAGTTAATATATTACGATTAACTTTCTATAACAATTTTTTAATCTCACTATAGTATGGTTTGATTGATGATACTCTATATTAAATAAATCATATTACAAATCTTTTTTATATATTTACTCTTATTTATTTATAATACTTTATAGATGTGCTGCTCATATTCTTAACATCATAGTTAGACATAAAATACAACTACAAACAGCATTAATAGAAAATGTTAGAAATTTTGTTGCTAAGATTTATCATTCAACAATTATGCGTGATGACCTTTAGCATTTTTGTATAATAAATAAAAAGTTATATATTACACCAAAAGTTGATGTGCCTACTTGTTGGAATAGCTCATATAACATGCTATATCGATTTAAATTAATGCATGCAGAACTTGACCTTCTTGTAACTAAATATAAACTTGAACATACTTTTCTTAACAAGAATAAGTGAAAAAAAGTTGATATTATTATTAGTCTTTTTTACTTTATACTTCATGCAACTGAATTACTTTTTCCAGTTCTTATGCAACAATGTCTGATATTCATCTATGCTTTGGAGGAATTCTTCAACACCTTGATAAATTTATTAATAATAAAACACATTCAGATAAAGAATGCATAATCGCAGATTCTATATAATATAAGTTAAATGAATATTGGCTACTTCTTGATGAACCTATTACTATTGCTGCAATTCTTGATCCATCTTCAAAGCTTACAACATTCAAGTATAAAGAAAAAAGAGATATAGCTATTGCAAGTTTATGTTATTTAATGGTTTAATATATGCTACAAATTTCTGCAATAACAAGTATAGATACTGTTATTTCTGCTTCTAAAAATAAAAAAAGAGATCTTTTTAAATTTTTGTTAGAACAGCAAATAAATGAACTACTACTAGAAGAATTAGATTTGTACTTATCCTCATCTACATCTTTTAAAGATTCTCTTAATTGATAGGCACTCAATGGATATCGGTTTTCAACTTTAGCAAAGATAGCACATAACTATCTAGCTATTCAGAGAACCAGCATTCTATATAAGGAAGCTTTTTCTGTTGCAGTAGGAACAATTACTAAAATTAGAAATCATCTTCATCCTGAAACTGCTCGTGCTTTGCTTTGTATGAAAAGCTGGATGAAGCAAAATATTTTGGAATAGTTAGTTTTTGTAACTCAAGTATATTATTATATTTTTTGCTTAAGATACTTATATAATAAATTTGCTATCACTATCATTATTTGCTGCTACATAACCTGTATTTGTATTATGATTTACAAATTATAAAATTATTTTAATAATATGGCTTCACTAAGCTATTTCTGTATTTTATATTTATGTATATATTATGTATATATGTATATAGAAATCCTGTGATTTGTTAAATTTAACAAATATATATTAGTTGAATTGTGTTTATAGATATTCACTAAATTTATAACTAAAACTTACAAATTTAAATGTTTAAAATATGCATTTGAAGAAATAAAAAACTTAGAGGCTATTAGTTAGATGAATCCTAAGCTAATAAAAAAATATATAAAAAAATTAAATTAAAGAAGCCTGTTTTTATATAGTATTTTTCAACTTTTTTATAACATTATTTATTACTATTAGTTTTAGAATGCTCCTTTGAGAGCTTTGTTATAAAAAAATTTCTTATAATGGTCTTAGTTTTGTTCAAATTAGTGATTATGCTTTAAATAATAATGAAACAAACTTTTATTGAGAAAATTCATTTTGTAGATCTTATTTTGATAAAATAAGATAAATCCACTTATTTATATGAATTTCCTTATGTATTATAAATTACTTTATTGTTAATCAATACTCTAAATTTCATATTGACAATATCAAATTAAACAAATAATCTTTTAAAGATACTTATAAATAAATACTCAACTAGTATAAATAAGGTTATTACTAAAGTTCTGATAAAGAATTTGGTGATCTATTGGAATTAATACAAGTCATAGAAGTGAATCGATATCTTATTATACATGAAAGAACAATTAAATCTAATGATTTTTTTCAAGTTTATTTGCTTAATTATAATGATTATGATTTTAAGCAAATTACTAGAGTTAGTAAAGAGACATTCTGGTATAAAAAGTTTAATTTGCAATAATACTGTTTTTTAAATAATTCTAATTTATAAAGACCAGTTTAGTAACAATTAGCAGTAACTTTAGAATGCTTAGATGGTAATAAAAATAGTGCTTCTGTAAAATGATTTGCTAGATAGCAAACTTAGAAATTAGTGCTGTGGTTGAGTACCAAACATATAATAACAGCTATAAAATTAATTGAGAGTTACTTATATACAGTGGCTGATTCTATTAAGTGACAACAAATTAGTAGTAAGAATAGAGCAATTATCTAAATTTAAAGATTGTGTTAGATTTCTTAATAGAACTAATGGTGTACTTGAATACAAATCATAAAAAGATAGTAAAATTTACTATAAGCTAAGGTTAATAAGTTATATAAGAAATAATTTAAGTAAAAGTTCAATAAGTAAATTATATAAAAATAATTTGAACAAAGATTTAATAAGTAATTTGAGTGAAGGTTTAGTAAGTAATTTGAGTAAAGGTTTAGCAAGTTATATAAAAAAATAAATTAACAGAAATTTTAATAAGTAATTTAAGTAAAGGTTTAGTAAATAATTTGAATAAAGGTTTAGAAGTAATTTGAAAGAAGGTTTAGTATGTTATAAAAAAAATAATTTGAGTGAAGGTTTAATAAGTAATTTAAGTGAAGATTCAGTAAATAATTCAAGTAAAGTTTTAATAAGTTATAAAAAAAATAATTTGAGTAAAGGTTTAATAAGTTACATTCGAGCAAAGGTTTAATAAGTAATTTGAACAAAGGTTAAGTAATTTGAGCAAAGATTTAGTAAATTATTATAAAAAAAACAAAAGTTGAGCAAAGGCTTAGTAAATAATTTATGCAAAAATTTTATTATTTACTTTGTATTGTGCATATGTAATAAAATTTTTACTTATTTCATCAAATAGAAGTCTCTTTTTTGAATTCTGAAATCCCATAATATAGCTATCTTTATTTATAAATTGTATTTAAGACTTTAATATTTTAAAATAGCATATGAAGCATAACTAAAATACATTATTGGTGCTAACTTTTAATAATTAAAGCTAATAACTTCAAGCTGTAGCTAAAGCTATTTTTAGCTTAAGCTATAATTAGAGCTAATAACCAAGCTATGGCTAAAGCCATCTTTACTCTAGCTTAAACTATAATTTAAAGCCATAGATTGGGTTATATCTTAGGCTTTTAGTTTAGCTTGGCTTTGTTAAGCTTGGCTTAAATTTATGGCTAAAGCTAGCTTTTTGTAAAGCCAATAACATCCCTACTATCAGCCTTTCAAATTCCTAGAGTGCTGGTTTACTCTAGACAATAAGTATACCTAGCAAATTAAACTAATTCAAAATAAAGCTATATAGCTAGCCAATATTGCCAATACCAAAAACATTACTGACAAACAAATTACTTATATTATTAATACTGTTATTATTCCAACTACTAAATACCATATTCAAAATATTGTTATCCTCCTTTTCGACTTGTAACAAAATTTTGAAAAAATACTTAACTATTGCTAAACACAAATCACATCTTCTAGATCTACACCCAATACCACTATAAACAACTATAATCTTTATAAAATATTCATGGCTTATGAAATATACAGCTTCAACATCATACTAGCAGCTTTTTTAATTGCATTATTAATATATTTACTCTTGGTCTAACAACTCATATTAGACTCCAACAACTCCAAAACAATCTATAGTCTACTACTAATATTCTTTACTACCCCAATCCTACAATTGATGGCCCCAACAAATACACTACTACTTTCAAAATTATACAACTTTTCAACTCTTTTAATATTTCTATTCTTTCTAATTCCAATCTCTCTTAGCCCATACTATCTTTGATAGTAACTCTCTTCTTAAAAATATTCTCTTAGTACACCCAAAATACTCTACCTTTAAACACAACTTTGATATAAAAATATCCTCTTCTTTGAACAACTATATTCTGCAAATAACAAAGTATTACTCAACTGGTCTCATCTATTACCAAAATTATTGTATATTCCTAAAGAAAAAAAACTAGCTTGGTTTTAATATCTATAAGACACAATTTTATCACACATCTTCTATTGTACAATTTCAACACACTTCCAGTCTACTAAGTACAACTTATTTGCTTACCAAACTAGTATAATCAGTAAATCTTTCAAGCCTTGGATATTTACTCATATTAACAACAATATTATTATTAGTCAAGTTCGAAAAGTATATCACCAATCTAATCTACTTTCAATCAACCACTGGCTACATGATATCGACACTTTTTATTCTATATACTATCTTTTATCTTCTATTATCTATAAACTCTGTCCTGGGTGTAATCTTAACTCATATCATATATTCAACTACTGCACACTAGAGGTCTTATCTATACTCACTACTCAATTCTTGAAAAGAAAATCTAATAGCAACTCAAACTCAATACCAACTATATCAACTTATTCCAATCTGTCAATATTAAAAACCCCTTCTATATCTCATCTCCTCTCTTAATTAATATTATAAACTCTCTCACATTCTCTCTATTTTACTATAATACA